CTGTACGATTGTTATTTACATTTAAATTGAGTTTTGGTGTTAATGTATTGTCCACAGCATCGTAATCATTACTGGAAAATACCATACGGCTATATATGTGAACAATCATTAATCCAGTGGTCATGATTATTTTAACCCGTTGTACTACTGGGTTCGCTTTTTGTCCTTCTTCATTTAGCGCTTTTAATATTATGGAATCTTTAGCACGCACTATCGTCATGTCCATACCATTTCGTGATAAATCCAATATAAGCGACAAACAAGCCGGATAAAAAGTCATAAATACAATATAATTGACTAAGACAGACATAACAGCAAATGTGCATAAAACTTCCAGACGCTGTACGCCCGAAAGAGTGCCCACACCTATAACTAAAGTTTCGACTACAGTATCTAATGAGATTGCTGGTCCAAGCACTTCTAATCCTCGCGCTATATTATGCGTTACTTCCGCTTGATTATTGCCAGCCAGCGCGAGCTGTGCAAGTCTTCCCGAATTCGAAAGATCGATTAGTAATAAAAGAAAGAATAGAGCATCTCTAAAATAAACAAATAAAATAAATGTAAAAATATACATGCATATGTTATGTGAAAAGAATGATATTATTGAAAAATGTGAATACTTACTTTAAGTCGGAAATATCACTACCAAGGAACTTTATTATTGTCGTTGTAAATATGAAACTTGAGAAAACCGTAAAAAGTCCAGCAATTCCTGCAACGTTCAAGATTTTAAAATAGAATTTTAACTTTGGAAACATAAAGTAATAAATTATTTTTATCAATAAATATTATTAATGCTATGCATTTGTCTCTGTCTCTAGGGATGTGTAATTATTGTGTTTGTAAGCAGCAATTTGAATACATATTTCATATTCCTTCTGTGCGATAAGCCGAAGCGCATTACGATAAGAAGTTGAATGACGTGAATTGAACAAGGATTACTTTTATTCATAATTCATTTTTTTTTTTTTTGGAATGAATTACTGAGAGTTTCCATATGACCTTTAGAGGATCATTGTTTTTTTTTTTGTTCTCGAAAATAAGTTTTACAAGTTGTATTGCCTATTATGTTGTTTTCTTTTTCCTTGGGTTGAACGAAACTAAGAGATATTTTAAGCGATTAAGAAGAATGATGCGGATTCAAGGACAGAATATTTAGATTTCGTAGACATTTTTTTGTGAACATAATACATTTAACTTGTCTCGATTAGTTACCCTATAATTCAAGAGAGCCTAAAGGAAAATTTGTAGTGTATATAAGAAATATATTTATACATATGATTTTATTTAAAGAATTAAGTAGAAGTTAATTAAAATGAGGATTAAGAATGACTTATAAACAAGTGGAAGGCTTTATATTTGCAAAAAAAATTAAATATTCTGATTATTCAAATATAACAAAGAACATATATTATTTAACATAAAAAAAATTAATATTATGCTTATCTAGTATTTGCTTTTCTGTTTAAAAAAGTGATACTTTTAATCATAGCAGTAGTATTAGATAATACATGTAGAAAGTAGATTATAACAAGAACAATTACTAGATAATATAGAAGGCTTGTGAAAGAATATCAATATTGTAACTTAACATATGTTAAATATATAAATAATTAGATGTTGAGACCTATTAGATTAGGAATCGAATAAAGAAATCAGGATTGTTTAGAGATTTTCCATTAATTATCTAAATATCAATTGTGAGAAGTGTCTGTAAATTAGAGAAACTTAGCAAAAATAATAACTTAGGAGTCAAAAAAGTATGTGCAGGTTGAGTTAGATATTTGGGTAGAGTAATCATGCTTATACAATTAAGAATCGTTCAGGAAATAGAATCTAAATGTAAATCAAAAAAAAAAAATTTAATATATGATAAGGTGAAAACTAAAATTCATTCAAGAGATATGAGAATGGAACGCACAAGGAAGTAAGTCGTGGAGTCGAACAAAAATTACGATTCCCAGAAAGACGAGTAAACCTTTTAGTGAATCGAATGTCAAAGTGAATTTTTATTCCTCTAACTTTTTAATTTTTTTTCTATAGATTAAGCAATTAAAGCAGCGAAGAAACGAAGAAACGGCAACTAAATCGATGATTGGAAACTATAACTTGCAACCCATACATTGCTAAATAGTTGTGTATGTTGACAAGATAGCATTTTTGCCGAATAATGGGATATGCATTTATTATAAGTCCATTCACTAGGACTGCTTCTTTCAGTTTACAAGGTATGACAGCAAATGTTGAAAAAACAAATGTTATATTATTTATGCTGCGAAATCGAAGCAAGTAATTATGCAAAAAACGTATATTGTAATGAAGTATAGTTGGAATAAGTATAACACATGAATGTGAAAAATGTTACTACATAACATAAATATTAGTCTTTATCAAAAATATTTATACTTAGATTCTATAACTCTATTAAGCTTACTTTTTTATTTTTTCTTCATTCTTTCTTTTTTTTATTTTTTTTAGATACTTCAGGCTCCTTTTCTATATGCTACAGTATTTTTACAATGCTCTATTGCCTACCGTTAAGTATCTGGTTAACGTACCTATTTTTGTTGTGTCCTGTTTTTCTCTCCATGATAGGCAATCTGATATAAGTTTTTTAGCTGTTCGATAACCAAGCACTTTCACTAAGTGATTACCATCACGTTTATTAATTTTTTTCTTATATAATTTTACAAGATTTGCATCTTCACCCGCTACTTAGCATTCTATGTATATGATCTTTTACACATAGTTGTATGAAACTTCTTTATCTTTAGTGGCGTTAGAGTTAGAATTGCCAATTTCAAAATACAATCCGGAAATACTTAGAATAAATTACATCAAATTTCCTTTTTATTAAAGTTATTCTGTTATTTATTTTCTAACATCTGAAAACAAAGTTCCCAATTGATTTCATTGTGCTTGAACGATTAAAAATAGTTAATAGAGTTCATTTTCACTATTTTAACTACTTAAATCCTTTATTTTTCGTAGTAATGTAAAATTCAATATAAAAAAAGGCTCAAAGAATCGCATCACTTTTAGAAGAGGTTCTTGAAAAATATCGTTTTATGATATTAATGTGTTCTGTTCTTCAGGACAATACTAAGTTTTATTACCTATGACAACCTTGAGACTGCAGAAAGAAAATCAGCTATCTTCCTATATTTATTTTATATTGTCAATTTATAAATGGTGAGTATTAAATTTTATAATATCTTTACCAACAATAAACAATACAATGGACGCAATGATCATTAAACTATTAACCTGCGGAAATATCACCTAAACTCTATTGTCATCGTAAAATCCCTATTTAGTTTATATAATTGGTTAATACTATGAGTGTAAAAATAAACATGAAGGTCACAATAAAATCTCTACAGCTTGCATATCTAAGCAATTGTGCCAAAATTTACACCTTTGGTGCAGCAAGGTTTAATGTTCATTCAAGCACTACTGAGGGCCATTAATATTATTTATTTTTTATCTAAGCCTGCTACCACTTTAGTACTTTAGTTGTAATACGAGTACAAAATACTTCAAGCATTATTTATAGTACAAGTTCACTTATTTATATGTATATTATTTTTTTCTGTTTTGCAAAAAACAAATTATTTGCTGTTTTTCTTTCTATACTTCAACCATGGAATTAATGAAGTTTATTTGCGGTTTGTGTGTTTAAAATATATTCCCGCCAAAAAGAATGGCTAAAATATTTGTCCAATATTAATTGTTTCGCAAATATACGACAATAATTTATCTAGTCTTGTCGTAGCGAGAGATAAATATGGAAATATTTCATAATATTCAGAATAAATAAATGTTAGGAATAATTTACGAAAAATCAATTATCTATTGGTTTGATTATGAAAATATCAGGGTCAAATACTTGAACTTTCGACTGATTCATGGAATCGATAGTTTATTTGATAAAAATCTGTGCTAATAATAAACAAAACAAGCATTTCAAATATTTCCAAAAATTTATTGAAGTGAATCTATGTGCTAAATTAATTAACATTTAATAAACAAATTGAAAATATTTTAACATTAAGCCCATAATTAACCTTCTTGAAGAATAGATATCAATTAATTTCCTAATTTTCAAAAATACAGAAAATCTAAAATTCTTAGCACATCGATTGAAAACAAGGATTAGTTAAAATAAAAATACTCCTAGTCGCCCGTGCGACTAGTGGAGTAACATTAGCATGACTTTCTCAGCATTACGTTCCTAGATTAGGTTCTATACATAAGAAAGAACAAATCATGCAACAAATAATGCCTCTACGAATAGAATAGTTTTGAAATTTAACAATTAAAAATAAAAAATATAATTAATTAATTAATTCAATTTACGAAAAATCAATTATCTATTGGTTTGATTATGAAAATATCAGGGTCAAATACTTGAACTTTCGACTGATTCATGGAATCGATAGTTTATTTGATAAAAATCTGTGCTAATAATAAACAAAACAAGCATTTCAAATATTTCCAAAAATTTATTGAAGTGAATTTATGTGCTAAATTAATTAACATTTAATAAACAAATTGAAAATATTTTAACATTAAGCCCATAATTAACCTTCTTGAAGAATAGATATCAATTAATTTCCTAATTTTCAAAAATACAGAAAATCTAAAATTCAATTAATTAAAATAATTTAAAAAATAAATTTTTGTTGTTGTTTCACTTCTGTTCGAAAACCTCTTTATAATTTAATATATGTATAACTTCTACTACGAGTATAAAAAAGTATCTGAACCTGTACCTGTATTGCAGTAATATTAAAATCAAAAGTGAATTAAATAAATTCAAATAAATAAATAAGAATACACATTTTTAACGTTAAAATTTCAATTTAATATAATTCTGAATCAACATGGCAGATATGAGATATAGCCGATCTTAATAAGTGCAACAAATATTTAAAGTTTGTTTTAAAAAAGACATGGGGTTGCTTTAAAACTGACAGATAGACATCTTTAAATTGATAGATCAATTTATATTATATTAGAATATAAAGTGTTACTATATAGATAATGATATTATATAGAATATCATAATCAATACGTGTCGTATTATATTGTCAAAATCTTTTAAGTATAACAAACTTAAGTATATGGAAAAATGTGAAGAAAATAATCCATAATTTTTAAACAACTATTATTATTATTAGAAAGGTTCGAACAGTTATGAAGATATAACAACAAAAATTTGATTAATTTATTTAAATTTGCTTGAAATTTGATTGACCGTACAACGCTGTTTCGAGTATTGATAAGTACTCATCATCAGTGATCTTAGGAAATATACGAATTTTTATTTAATTCGTTTATAGTCCGTATATAATTTGTTTGGACTGCAAGTGCCAGTCTTACACCTCGTGCCTATCAAATTAGAAACGATGAACAATCGTGTTGTTCCACAAGTAGCTAAGACTGCACAAACTTTCAAAGCTCAAGTTCTAAGTTATTATTATTATTATTTTCCACAACTTACAACATTGATTGTTCATAGCTAACTCATATCGGTTATTTATGTGTAATCTTGCAACTCTTCTAAAAGACAATATCATTCTAAGGTAGTCATTTTTTATATCATATATACATTCTCTTATAATGTGCACAAACTTTCACATTAATTTAATAAACAAAGTGTTATTATTGTTATTGTTCTATTTTCTTCTGGTACTGGACCAAATGTTATTCGCTTGATAATTTGTAGATTGTATCACTATATACTATCTACATGCCGGTAAATATCCATTTTTTGTTATATAAATGGGAGGTTTTATATTTATTAAGAGTGATTAAAACTTTAATCGGTGGGATTAGATGTACTATGCCTTGTAAGAAACTCATATACATATGCCTTGTAAAATACATCGGTGTTACTCTTAAGTAGAACACTTTGATTAAGAGTGATTAAAACTTTAATCGGTGGGATTAGATGTACTATGCCTTGTGAGGAACTCATATACATATGCCTTGTAAAATACATCGGTGTTACTCTTAAGTAGAACTCATTGATTAAGAGTGATTAAAACTTTAATCGGTGGGATTAGATGTACTATGCCTTGTAAGAAAGTCATATACATATGCCTTGCAAAAAAATACATAGGTGTTACTCTTAAGTATAACACATTGATGGATTTCAATTTTTAATCTGTGACGAAACTTGGAGATTGGCAGTTTCTAATAATGTATTATTCCATATTCTCTACTGTGTGATCGCAGCATGCAACCCTAAAAACTATATTAATATTTTTGTGTTCTATGACGCAATAATTTGGATTTTCTTAAATTGTTATTGCAGAATGTGTGACTTTTAATATTAAATAAACATCATTCGCATATTTCAAATATGCTAATTTGAGGCAAGTTATAAAATAAGAATCTAACTGAAAGTAAACATACGCAACAAAAAGTTAACAGCTTTACTTGGGGAACCACAGTGTTCCATCCATACCGGAACATAATCCAATATAATTACGCTAATAAGATACGCAAATTGGCATACTGCGTGCATGTGCGACAGACGTGAATGCATGTCACTTTAGATGTTTGTGTTCTAGTACATGATATTTGTACTTAAACCTTTTAATTAAGGCATAACTAACTAACATTGTACAAATTGAAAAAATGTACCATAACATTACATAATCACATAAACCCATACAATGCGGCATCCGTAAAGCACCCAATCAACCAATCAACCAAGAAACAAGAAACACAAATACATACGAGACAAATACGAGTACAAGAAGGAAACATGGCATTGCAATTTACTTACCCAATATGTATTTGGAGCCGAGCTTATGCAAACTACAAAACTGATAGTAACAATAGAGGACTGCAGTGCAACGCACAATTGTCATGAGTATGACATCGGCTGCATTGTACTCAGCCTCCAGGCCATCACATGACTGGCTCCAGCCGTGACACGGTCGATGTCGACTAGATGTGACCGAGGGCGTTGTCCCACTTTGTTGTTGTATCGTTGAGGCTGTTGCTGCTGTGGTTGCTGTTGTTGTACCCACCGCACCCTCGGCGCTGATGGTACCGGCTTGCTTGTCAACTGTCAGCATACATGCTGTCACTGTCAGTAGTGCAACAATTACCTCCCAGGGATGTGAGGCACAAAATTCGCCATGTGCTCGAAATAAACGTCCAATCATTTTGTCTAAGAATTTTTGATTTAAGTACAATTTTGCTGATATAAAAATATATTGTCTTAAATGTAAAATTTTGATAATGATTGTGGTAAACGGCACAACGCATAAAAGAGCAAATTTCTATCTGAGCAAAATGTCTTACAATATTAAATGGATTTCAAAGTTTTGCCAAATGTTTTCAGTTCAATTTATGAAAATCTGTTTCAATGGTTGTCGAAGTCAATCACATTCGTTGCAATGGTTGTTACAGTAATGAAGTTGAACTTGAAACAGAGGTTGCCAACCTTAACAGCATGTACTCGCATCTATGTTTAAATGTCGGCCGTGCATAAATGCGCATGCGTGCGTGCATCCGTGCATATATAATATTCGAATATGCTACAGAGCCAATTTATTTGCGATTGTCACTGTGTCAAGTGCAGAATGGCACCGATTAGTTACATATAAAGAACAATTTCAGAATTAATTTTGTATGTTCTGGTGTAATTCAAATGTTGAAATCTGTAAATAAAAAAGTTTGAAAATTATTACTTTAATCTGCTTGTGTTTATTATGATGATGATATGAACGCCCAGAACTTAAGTGCCTAGGGCAGTGTGTATACGAATAAGAATTGAATTGCATTTAAATGGGAAATTAAATTTTGAATATTATTATTATATATTATTTAAAATAGACGTATACATAGTATGTTGACACATAAAAAAAATAAATAATACTATTCTATTTATATCTGCATAAGAAATTCTAATGGTTTAGTTAAATCTTATTTCTATAGTTAAATCTGTTTCTATACATAACATACCATAGAAACAAATTCAACTACAATCAATCTGAGCAAGAGTAATATATATAAATTCAAAGAAAAACTATATAATTATTTTATTATAATTAGATTAAGTTACGTTGGCGATCATAAGGATCCACTTAGGCTTATTGTGTAACCGTACCGGGGTTTAAAAATAGTTGAAACTTTGAATAAAACTGCGGATACTCCTGAAGAATATGTCTTTATAATGAAGAATATGACTTTATAATTATTTTATTATAATACATAAAGAGCTTTTCGAAAAGTAATGAACTACAACAACAAAAATTCTTTTTTTTATATTATTTTAATTAATTGAACTTTTTGTTGATCATATAGCTGTTTCGAGTATTGCTAAATACTTATTATCAGCGGTCTTTGAAATAATTTTTGTATTTAATTATTCATAAATAGTTTTTGGAGACTGCAAGTAACAGGAATCGAACTCATGCCCTGCCAAATTTGAAGCTCAGCGTTAGCGCTCCTTAACCAACTGACCCAAAGCCGTACTTGATTTTTATGTTCGTATATTTTTCTGTAGTTTTGTTAATTTGCTGTGAAAGTTCTTTATATTAGAACAAAATATTAACGAGCTTTAGAATATTTAATTTAATTAATTATGTTTTAATTTTTAATTGTTCAATTTCAACACTATTCTATAGTATATTATACTGTATACTATACTACATATTACAGTATTATTTCAGACCTGACCACAGTAACTGTGTGTTATGACGTATTTTTGGATGTTAAGTTTGATTATTAAATAAAGTTATTTAGAATACAACAAATAAGTTAATCAAACAAATAAGATAATCAAACAAACTACTCTCGTAGCTCAACTATTTGTATAATAAAATTGAGTCGAGTAATACTGATGCATATAACATGGAACATATCTATCTTGTTATAGAGAATTCTACTGTAATACAAAATTCTAAAATAAATACATACATTTTTATTTCATTTCTTCTGCTTTGTTATAAATATTTAAAATTTATTTAAATTTAAATGCCATTTGAAAAAACTTCGTACATCTTTCAAAAATATTAATGGAATTTTCTTGTAATAGCGGGCGTTGTCTGATCAAGCTTTGAGTTTAATAACTTCTTTGAGTAATTCTATTTTTATAATGGTACATTTTGTCTTTTGTAATATTAAGCTCATAAAAAATCATATTATGTTATTACATTCACATCCATAAAAAAGATTGAAATTTAATTATTAAGTAAAATTAAATATATACACAATAAAAGTTTTTGGTCTTCTTGGCCTCAAATAGTGTAATACAATGGATATGCAATCCTGTTCAATGGATATGCTGCCCATGAAATACGGACTTCTTACAATAATCACACATACAGATCTGGGAAGGGACAGGACATTGTCATAAATCTAATATATATAATTAATTAGGTACTTAACAAAAACCATCTAAGTATGCTTGCCCTTATTAGGTGCTTTTCCAATATTCCCAGCGATATCTTATCGCTTTATTTAAATGATATAATGGCTTTCCAGTATAATAAAATTATTTAGCGTGTCTGATAATATTTGCTGTGATATCACAATTGGACTGCTATTTAGTTGCCAAGTGAACTATATATTCGACGATATTTTTATATTTAGTTTCATTAAAGTCTTGACAATTCTCATACAATATTTTTCTGCTTTATAAGATCGCACAACATTAAAAATATATACTTATAAGGACTAAGCAATTAAGGATTAAATGTATTTGAAACCATTTTAGTTTAAATCCAAAGAAATTTTAATTTATTACGGTTCGGCAAAATTAAATCCCTATAATTACATTTTCATTTCAATTTTAAACAATTTACTAAAAGTGCTTCTGTAAGTAACTACTCTCGTAAATCCAATGAATACATGTCTAACAAAAATTTTGTGAGCAATTTTGTGCTATCCTTTAAGTAGATTTGCGGCAAAGTGCAGATAAAAAGGCTGACATTGTAACTACTACTGCAGCAGCAAAAGTTGCTGATACAAAACATTAAAATTTATCATATCATCCAATTCACCTCATTTATTATATTTCGAAAGTTTTGCATGCACAATTTTAACATTTAATCCTTTCCACATATGGTTGGCTGGTGTTTCGTAGTTGTGCATCAGAGTTTGCAGAGAATGAAGGTCAATCGTTATAGCAGTTCACCAACCCAAAGCGGATTTCCATAGATCGACCGTAACGTGGCATATGTAACGAATTGTAAAAGGAAATTTTGCTTATCGATTAAAATGTTGACACTTTTCAATAAGACAATTTAAACCAAATAAAAAAATTGGTTTAGTGGAGCGAGTACTGAACTACTCTTGATGTTTGCTACAGAACAGCTAGAAAAAGGCATATCCAATTCAGAAGCGTCCCCTATATGTGATGTGTGATTATAAAATATACACGCTTTATTTAAAGAACATTAAAGATAATTAACAAGATAAAGATGCGAGTAATAAAATTTTGTAAATAGAAGAGATAATTTTTAATTAATAATATATGTATGTCATATTAATATATTATTTGCATGTAAATATTCTTGAAGTGTTTAAGTTTAAACTACATTTTTCATTTCTAGGTGGAAACTTAAATGTTTACGATTTTAATTATAATGAATCGCAACACATTTATGACTGGAGCATTTATGAACAACAGTCGCTAGTTATAGTAGTCAAATATTATAAACTATACAGAGATTGTGATGAACTGACAGACGTCAAAATTATTGTTTTATATTAATTTCGATTGCAATACTTTATTTTATACTAAACAAGTTCCGAATGCAATGATGCATTTGATAATATAGAGCTTTTACTCTTTGGTAGTACTAAGATCTCCGCCATAGCTTTCCGCAAATAGCAATATCTGCCAAACTAAAGATCGACGGTACTTCCATTTCTCTTCTCGACGAGCTCAAATACTTTAAAATTGTGCTATCTTTTCGGAACAACTTTATTCATTACATTGACTATGCCATCCGAACTGCTCGGTACAATCACACGCAACACAAAAATGCCCTTCGAAGGCACAGTCAGATTAATTACAAAGTCAAGCTGCTCTGCTTTAAACAGTTCATTCGCCACTACTCTAGTACGTCTTTCCTATTTAGTCTACCATCACCACTACGTGATTGCACAAACTACAAGAATAAGCCTGATGGTTATCACTTTTCCAATACCGTTCTTTACGACAAAGCCACTTCCGCACTTACGCAATAACCTATATGCCCTTCATCTACTACCCATCTACCTGCATCACGTCCATGCATTCTGGCTTAGATAAACCTAGTCTACTAGGTATTAAGCCTCTTGTTCGTGTTTCTCTTTTTTAATTATTGGAAAAAAGTTTCTACACTGCGATGGAAATATTTTCCATTCATTCGTAAGAGGTGGTTTAGTGAATTAAAATCTCACACTGTGGCTGTCGATGTACAAATCTTTATGATATATTGTAATATTAAATTCTGTTCCCAAAGATTTTCTAATGTAAATTTATTACTAGTTATGTTATATATATTTTTATTATATAAAGAACGATATTTTCACCAAACATTTATAGAAAGCGTTGCACATTGTGCTCAATCATATTATGTTAACTACACACGATACTTTCTCACTGCTGAGAAAGTATTCTTTATTCGCAGTTTTAAAAGATGGCAAAAAAAATTTCGAAGGGCGATACTAACTTAGATTTTTATGATTGGGTGTAACACATCACAATAGTTCCAAGATAAAGCCTTGGGCTTTAATAATTAATTAATATCTAGATACGTGAATTTTAGAAATTTTGTAAATAATTGTTACATTACAGATATTGTGATAAGCTACTACCGCAGATATTGCTAAGCATTTATGAACAAAGAAAAATATATATATATATATAATTAGTCAGTTAAATATTCAGTAATAATTAATTATAATCAAAGAAGTAATTTCCAACGAAATATATATTTTTGAACATGATACTAAATATTTCGATTTATTTATGTTGAATATGATCTTATTGTTTTTCAAAAGAATTCATACATTTTTTATAGATTATTTTTTATTTCAATTATTTCTATATGAGATATTAAATGGAAGTCTACTACATAGCATAAAAAAATCCCACTACGTGATTAAGTTAACAAACTCAGCTAATGACGTTTTTGTATGACTAGGAAGATGTTGAAGATGCGACAAAAATATTAAAATGAATATTAGTAGAACATTATCGGGAGCAAATAATGAGAGTGAGTACTAAGAATTTATTTTACAATTTTATACAAATCAAGTTATACAAGCAAATAATAATGAGGTAAGACCAAACCCAATTATATATATATCTTCTAATGCTTAATATTCATTGCAGAATTAAACAATAAATTTCACTAATGTTTAAGTGTCGTCAATTAAATTATTTATAAGATAAATGTATTGAAATTTGACATGTGAAATCAATATATATAGCATTAAATTATATATTGAAAATATTATTCAAATAAAAAAGGATTTATTTTATATAAATATATATATTGTATAATAAAATAATACAAAATAAAATAACATTGTTTTATTAAAGTAATATAATTATATTATGCGTATAAACATTTATTGCTAAAAATTTATTCTCATTTTATATTCATTTTTCTAAAAGATTGATTTTCTTGTCCGAAAATTGTTCTGACCGTACTTATACCAATTTAATGGATAAACATTCCTTCTTCTTCCATAGTTAAGAACATTGTACATATTTCCCATATTAAAATTTTGTAAACAATTTATATTTAAAATGCTTAACCTTTTCGGATTAAAATAAAAGTAAGAGCAAGAGATTTTCATGGTATGATTGTTTACGAGAATTTAATTATTTAATATTGATTAAACTTAGGAAAATTAATTTTCCTCAAAATGTATTGTGTGCAACTAAAATAATAAATCAAAGTACTTCACTTGGAGTGAAATATGTGAGAAGTGTTACCTCATATAGTATATATAAAAGTGGAAAACATGCAAAGCTAAATTTCTACTAAAAGATATATATAAATATTTAGATTTGTCGATATTTAAATATTTTTGACTTTAATTGAAAAATTAACAACAATTATTATAATTGTAGTAAAATGCAAGTTAATCATATTCGAGTTGATTATATTTGTTGAAGACCCGTAGCAGTGTATGGTCAACTGAAGTATTTTCAAAATAATGTATCTATTAAAAAAAAATTAATTTTAATATACTTAGGTTTACGTAAAAAATACAAAATATTAATCAGTTTATTTGACTCAAGAAATTAAGGGTAGTAAAAAAAAACAAACCAAAAATAATGAAAAATTCCTTAATTTTTACGACTTATATAAAAGTACGATTACGTTTTAAAGGCATTTGTTCAAAACAGTAAACGTAACAAAGTGCCAATTTAACAAATATCCAATTAAATGAGCAATAAAATTCTATAATTGATTATTATATATAACGAATGCATACCTTATTATATAGTTAAGAGAATAGTCACAAATTTTCCAGCAAAAAAAAAAAAACGAATAGAAAAAAAAATCCAATAATCTCTTTCTGAAAAAATACCTAAAACGATCCATAAAAATGCTGTGGCACACTAAAATCTTCTATAAATTAGGCTAAAATCTCACACTGCATTAGCACTTCAAATTCTCCACAAAATAACCTGTGGAGTACTAAACACTTCTATATATATTATGATACAGTTTTAGCTGAAATAGACTTTATTTTACAGGACCTATAAAAGAAAGCCTGAAAAATAAATTGGAGCATCAAGAATCTTGCTAATATAACGACTCACACGGGCTAGATCAATATTTTGTGAATATAAGTTGTAATTTAACGTCAAATGTTTCAGAGGGAAGTGACTATTATATTTAATAGAAACTAGTATATTTTATAGAGGTTTTTTTAATAAAAATAACTTATGAATCAATGAATGCATATGCAACAATTTTATTATTATTATGCCAAGATATAGCGCGACCACAACAGTTCTATATATAAGACATGGTCATGTTAATACTCTATTTTTTAAGCTTTCAATCAATTTCAGTACAGTTTTTGGGGTGTAGTTTCAGAATTCAAATGAATATAGCCTGCCCAGAGCAGACATTCAAAAATAATGAGCTCTAAATTTTTGATGTTAATTTCGACAAATGACAAAATCGGCAGACTTGGTGTCGGAATAACCTAATTTTGTTAATTGTTTTTTTTTTTTACGGGCTATTAGGACAGTTTTATTTTTATTTAATAAATAAACACGTTGCTTTTATTTAATCACTCATAAATGTTATTAAAATTTATTCAAATTTTATTAAAATTTATGAATAATTTTAATATTTCGTCGACCTCAAATGTCTATAGTAACGTGTAAAGTAACCAGATGAAGTTTCTTAATCTAAGCTTTTTAGTGAAATTAAGTTATTTATTAATTATAAACAATTTCTTTTTTAAAAATATTACTCTTAATATAAGTAATAATAAAGAGATGTTTGAGTTATTATAGTAAATAATTATTTTAATAACTCAAAGATAATATTAAAAATGATTTATGAGAAAATATAGATAAATGATCAATATTTATTACAAAAAAAATATGTTCAACTTTAAAATTTATTTTAAATTATAATAAATATTATTTATTTATTATAATGTATTTATAGTTTATAGCCCTCATGCAAAAAATTTGCAGTTTAATGAACATTTTTTTTTAAATATATTCAATTTTATAATTTATTTAAAATTATTATAAATATTATTTATTTATCATAATGTATTTATAGCCCTCATGCAAAATATTTGCAGTTTAATGAAAATTTTTTTAGAGTTTTGATTTTTAAATAAACATTTTCATTCTGTCTATTTTTGTACATTACGAAATTTCTCTTCGTAACAATTTAATAAACACTATTAAATGTATTATATTTTATATACCCAATTCAATAATATTGGAGTTTCATTTATGTATACCAGGGCGGTCCAGACCAGATGCGATCGCGGGTCAATACAAATCACTGTATAAATTGGAGGGTCGCAGAAACAAATATATACGTTCATAGTTGTTTTCGACAAAAATAAAAATTCGTTTATAATGTTAAATTTAGTTTTTTAATTTATTAATTTAACTTCATTTATTTGGTATAATATAATAATAAAATAATGTAGTTTTATCAGTAACCAAAAGAAAATTTGAGTAATTGTGGTAGATTAAAAACATGTCACGGGCCGCATGTTGCCCGCGGGCTGTGCTTTGGATAGCCCTGATGTATACTATCAATATATTAATGATCTGTATCTTAAATTAATATTGTATTAAAAATAGGTAACTCTACTTATGTCTGCAAGTAATATGGGTATTTGTCTTTGTTCTTGTAATCAAAGATTAAGTAGGAACTTTTCGTTTTGTTGTCACAAAAATTAATTCTGAAAAAAAAATCCATTTAATAACAAAATCAAAAATTAATCTATTTTAACACTCTCAGTTTTCCTAGAATTGTTTACATGAAATTAATTTGACACAATAAATCCCAGCATAAGCAAACAATAATGGCAATTTAAATATGGCAATCCGATGGTAATGTCGAAGCTTTTCATTCAAGTGATGTAATATGACTATGACAGAAGCGAAGGATTGTTGTGTTGTGTCAATGGAACGACGAGTAGAGAACTTTTCAGTGCATCACCACAGCACCATTAATTGAAATGATATAAGAATCTAATTAAAAATACAGCTCAGTTTCGAAGAAATCTCAATATTTACGCGAAAGAATTTCATATGATAACAATAATTCAATGCCGTTTTAAATATTTTTAAATTTATTAAAAATTGCCTTAATTATTGCCTTAATGAAAGAGAAAAACTCTCGTTTGGGATATGTGAGTAATCAACAATTAAACGGAAACGGTTTTATTTATTTTTAATGGTTTTTGTTTTAAATATAATTATATGATTTTTTTCTTTTTTTAATTATGAAGAAGTAATGTGGATGCCACGCCACTTCAACAAATACAGCAAATCGTAATGTCTGACGTTATGTTGTGACGACTATAAAAAGATATGTGTGAATATGTATCGTTCGAATGATATAGTTAACATACAAAATTATGACAAGTGACAAGTATCAAATTTTCAAAGGAAAAGTAATAAATAATGGCAAACGGCAAACGGCACCGATACTCGTGTATACATTTTGCGTACCAATGTGAAGACAATGAGCCCGTGATGAGCTCAAATAATCATATCAGATGTGAAATGCGCACGTTTTTGTGTTTGTTTAAATTTTATGCACGGATAATTGGTAAAAACCCATGATTCTTAGTTGTTCAACAAAACAGAAATTATCTAATAATTTTCTAGGAAACACTTGTTACACTTTAGGAGAGAGAAATTTTTGCTACGCAATTAAAAGAAAGTTGTTAAAAACACTTTTTTGGAAACATTTTTTCTGCCTGTTTTGCCACATGTTTTTAAGTAATTAAGTAGTCCTTAGAAACCGGCTGAAACACTTAAAAATATAAAAGAAAAGAAATTTATTAAGGGCTGTCGGTTTGTAATAAAATATGTATCTCAGAGATGTACATTGTTTAAGCATTTCAAAGATTTTATGAGTTTTAGAAGTTAAAATATTGCAAAATGATCAAATGCAAGGGTCGTATGATAAGCCTGACATATACATACATAATAAAACAAGATTATTAAAGATATATATATTTTATTTTTGGGAAAATCCTTTGAAGTTGCAAGATGATTCCCACTGATTTTTGGTTTTTAAGAATAATTAACTGTCTGCAACATTTTTACACTTTATAGAATGTTTCCATAAAATAAACCGTATACAGCCGTAATTTTTTTCTTTCAGACTAATGAGCTTTAGCATTGAAGAAAAGATATGGGAACTCTACCTACCCGATTTAAACATGTTCAACGGTTGTTGAACGATCTATGTTGTATTATGCAAAGCCGTAAATTAAACACATGGTGCCTTGTAAGACTGTTTTATTTCACATTTGCCACTGAAAGACTGCTGTCAAATCAGGGACACGAAATGTATCTTTTTATAAGATATACATATTTTGATAGAAAATTTTTCATAAAAGATTTTTAATTGAAAATTAATTACTTATATCTATGTTAGCAGTAGACTTCTTCCAGTGGCTTCGCTAGGCGTCAGCGATGTCGGCGACCGCCGACGGCCTCGCGCCCGCAGGGGCCTCGCATAAAGTTACCGACTGTGGATTCTAAGCAATTAATAAATATTTTGAACAATTTGGTTTGATAATGGCATTAGCCATATTCGAAATATTTCCGAATGTTTATATAGTAACCAGATTCATGTTCACAGTTCAGTATAGTTGCGACGGAAAGAAGCTTTTCAAATTTAAAATTGATTAAGACGTACTAGAAAAGTATGATGATCCAAAAAAGACTATCTCCATTCGAATTTCTATAAACTGAAGCGAAAATAGCAGCTGGCGCAAATTATGATATAATTTAAAAAAAAATTGAGTGAAGCTAAAATTGAGTGAAGTCGGAAAATTCATTTATTTTAATTTGTGTTTATTTTAATTTGATTAAGCAATAAAACTTTTAATCATGCTTTGTCATATTAGTAAATGTAACTTATTTTCTTTTACAAATGGGTTAACAGGGGGCCTCGCAATTCTAATGTCGCCGACGTCCAGAGTTGGTCTAGCACCGCCACTGAGTTCTTCTCTGTGTATTAATCATCTGATTATTATGAATAAATAGTTGATAGTGTTTTTAGCATTCTCACATCCTATTACTAAAACAGTGCAGAATTATAGCTTAGAAGTTAACTAGTTAAATCTTTAAGAAATACACATTTATAACGTTTACCCAATACTATATAGAACAGTTAAATAGTTCTGGAATGATTATATAAATACTGAGTTGTACTCGTATATAAGAGCATGTATATATGAAAATGTTATTCTTTCTTACATTCATATATTTTTTTTGGAATTGTGAAAAATCTCTGAAATTTTCTGCTCTATTTAATCTAATCGATGCGTATTAATCTTATTTCAAAACTAAGTGAAAAAATAAAAAAAAATATTAAAGGAAGACGCAATTTATTAAATTTGAAATGACACTTCACCTATTGTCGGAATACAATCCATTTCATTTGTGCACCACAATTTGTATTTTGAATATTTTGTGTACACTTTTTTCCTGGTGTTTGTCTTTTTGAACGAAACCTTTGGAAGCTTGAGGTCAACCGCAACATCCGCCCAATACATTGTACATATGTTTTGAAATATTAAAATCTGTACTTTTTCAGCGCTTTCATATGTAAAATTTCATACAAAATATACAAATATACAAAATATCCGTGTAAATATATTATATTAGTATACTTTGTTTTGTTATTATTTTTGGTACACAAAAGTGCTATGAATTTTAAATGAGATTTGTTTACTTAATCGTATTTGCATGTGTTCGCTTTTCTGGTTCTGGAAACTGTACAAATATAAGCAAATAACAATAACCAAGGAAAAATATATTTATATTTATGGATTCCTTCGGTTCATTCAAGCTGAATGCTAAATTTAAAGATTTCAACATTTATACTATATAAATCCGTAAATGCTTTTTTCAAGTGGTTCTTAAGTGGCCACCTCCAAAATTTAGCAATTCTATTTTTCAATAGAAATAGAAATTACAAATTCTATTTGCTAATACAAAAATAAACAAATGAAAAATGGTGTTTGCAATCGCAACTGGAGATGTCATTCATTTTTCACCAAAGTATCTAATCTGCATGTAAATACTTTTAATGGTTTTATAATCACAACAATCAAATAACAATTTGTGTTTATTGTGCGGATATCTCATTGTTTCTTTTTTTTTTTTGTTGTCTGTTTGTTGTTATTGTTGTTTTAATATTGCTTTTAATTTGGAGGAGGTTTATGTTGTGCTTGTTGCTTGCTTAAATAATGCTTAATTATTTAAAATTTTAATATTTGAGGTATTTCTTTTGTTTAGAATTATTTGCTCAGATACAAGTTATTTTGTGTACTTCTTTTCTATACATAGCGAAGATACTCATTTTCTTGAAAAAGTGCAATTTTGTGTTAATAAAAATATATAATCATTCAATAGGCAAACCCCCCAATACTTGATTACGGTCTTCGATGAGTGCAACCTTTTATAACCGCGACTTTCGTGACCCTAGGTATTAAACCTATCGGTTCTCGTCTTTATCAGTATCAGTTGTCTGATTACTGGAAAGAAGTTTTCTCAATGTTGTGGAAATCTTCTCCATTCATTCCAAAGAGGTGATTTTAGTGGGTTCAAGTCTCACATTTTAGCTTTCGATGTCAGTGATGTTTAATGAAAATTATAGTTAAAGCTTTATAAAACTGACGTTCATAAAAAGAGACATTTTCATTAACTGTGCAATAATTCTAAAGCTTAAAATTTTTGTTTTCATTTTTCGAATAAAGGAAGGTATTTAAAATGGATAGTTTTCCTAACCGAGCAAAATTGGTGTCGTTATTCGCTTAGCAAAACTTTCAATATATAACAAATAACTAACATATTTAGTTATTATTAATAGAATAGACAACGCTACATCGTAATCTATTCGATTTATTATGTTATTATTAGAAAAAGTGCCCTAAAATAACTTGAACACAAATTTGGTCTATTGATAATATTTATAACATCCATTGGTTTAAGATACTAGACTTTATTCACTTCATGAAATCCAAATTAAGATATTGATTACGTTCAATGAATGTTTCATTCTGCATTTGACGAAATCTGTGGATGTCAACATAGTCTTAGTAGTTTTTAAGAATGTGTCTAGTTTAGAAAAAGTTATCAACATTTATTTAGACCAAGAAATCGGTCAGTATTCTTATATGTTTATCCGAATATGGTTTTTGGATTGCTTTAGAACTAAATCCACACAAACATTTTATATTCTATGTTCGTAAGTAGTGAGTAGTCTGAAAAGTGGATATACGATATTACGAAAATCTTCATTTTAAACTCTATTTTGTGAGGCAACTTAGTATTCAATTCAAAAATGTTGGTATTAAGCTTTATAGATAATAATATTTTAAATTTTATTAAGTAAGTATATTTAAGTAGTAAGCTTTTTTGCTATTATTCTATGATAAATTAATAAACTGATTGTGTATTTATGGATCAGTTAATCAGTTATAATTAATATAATTTTAATCTGTTATTATCATTTTTAATTTAATTTTATTTTTAGTTTTTATTATTATTATTGAAATTTAATCTTACATAATTTTCGAATCAAAAACTTGAACAATTACTGACACATTATCTTTTTATTATATACATATATAATATATAATTTGACCTTTTTTTAAATTTAAGCTCTGGCTTTTATACCCTTTCTAGTTTTAAACTAAGTTTTATGATATTGATAAGAAGAGAACCAAAACTTAGAACATAATTATACTAATGATAATAATGAAATTATTAATCATTAAGTAATAATAATTATTATTTCAATATTTTTTATTTTCAGCAAGTCTACAACATTTTTTAACACAGATTAAACAAATTTTTTAGCAATTTTAAATTATTTTCAGCATCAAAGATTTCTGTGAGCACATGTCTTACAAATTCTTAACTACTCTTAGCCATCAAAAGTAGTGTATAGTTCCACACTATAGTTTACAAAAGTAATCATAATAAAATTGTTAATTTGAAAATTAAACTTTAAACTAATCTTAACATATATTATGTAATTGAATAAAGGTGCAATTTGTGAGGTGTACGCACTACCAGAAGGTCATTGATCACACTTTTACTTTATAAAGTATTCATGCTAATTGACCATGATGAAGAAAAAAAAACAAGAGAAGAATTTCGTTAATTTTTTAAAATTACTTAGAAAACAGAATAAAAAAGATTTGTTCTTAAATTTATGTTCGGAAGTATTTAATAAAGATAAACATAACAATGGAGAGCCTTTGATATCCAAAAACTTTTATTTTACTATATATGTATTTTAAAATTAGCACAAAACTATGATTGTGCTACTATGATTGTGGTGCTCTGCTCCACTAGGAAGGAACCTACTACTATATTTTATTCTAATACATGTGAAAATTAAATAAACAAGGGGAATATATGAAGTTTTTTAATAGAATATTTATTGAATAAATTAACACGAAATAAGATTTAATTTAGATTAATTTTGTTTTTAAAAAGAAATTTAATTTTTATTAGTTTCGATTTTATGAAAAATTTAAAATAAAAAAAATCAATTACTAAGTATTTTTTAAAATAGATTTTGTTTGGTGTTATAATAATTAAAATACAAAATATATTTATACATATTTTGTGAGGAAGTTGCATTTACAAACTGTATGTGCTGAATAATTATGTCAACATGTCCTCAAAATTACTGGAGACTATAGCCTAT